AGTCTGTAGTTTACTTAGTAGTGTCATATCAATATTAATTTCTTAGTTTTGACAAATGCCTTTTGGTTAAGTAAGATGTTAACATCAGGAGACAGCTGGGTAAAGGCAACACAGGAGCACTGTGTACTATCTTTGCAACTTTTCTGTAAAACTAAAATAATTCCCAACTGAAAAATTAAAAGGAAATGCATATAAAAACTCAGAACGCATTATCTGGACCCTGTAAGTTCTTTTAAAAAAACATTAATTATTATCACCATCATGATCATCTCATTTATTCCTCACATCAACTCTAGCAGGTAGGTACGATGAGCAGCCTCATGGTACAGATTTGGAAACTGAAACTCAGAGAAATAAAATACGTTTCCAAGGTCACACAGCTAGGAAGTACCTGAGCCCAAATTCAACCCAGCTCTAACATCCATGCTCTTTCCCGTCCCACAGCGCTATTGTTACTATAATACACAATAAAGAATAAGGAGGAGGAGGGCGGAGGGTGTAAAACAAGCAAAGATTTCAGGCTGGAAGAACTTGGGTTCAAGAGCTACCTCTGCTGGGGGCCCTGGGCAAGTTGTTTAACCTCTCTGAGCCTCAGGTCCTTTATCATTGACATGGAAATGGATTCTTGGGTGTAACTGAGAAGGTAGTAAAGGGACTAACACATAGGAGGAGATCAGTTCATTCTAGTTCTCCGGCCAGCGACGTACTTGACCCGCTCTTTTGGGTAACTGCCTCCCTTGGGGAGCGCACTCAGGGAAGCAGCAGGGGTTCTTACCTGGCTGGCAACTTGGACTCTGCTGCTTCATCACTGAGCAGCCTTGAACAAGGTGCTTCCCATCTCTGAGCGTCAGGTTATTCAAGTATTAGCGGAAGATAAAAGTCCCTGCTTCCATGGACTGTTGAGGAAATTAAAGGATCTATCAGAAAAACGCTCAGCACCAAGCCTGGCACGTCATAAGAGCTCAGTGAACGGTAGATGCCATTCAACAAATACTTCTGACTCTCTCCCCTTCTAGTAGGGTTGTACCTCTTGGACCCCTGGTGACTGGGTGGAGCCACGGGACATGTTCTGGCCAATGAATTGTGAACAAAAAGGGACATTTGTCACTTCCAGGCCAGAACAGTTCATTAGCCCTGGGAGACCCTTCAAATTCCCTTTTCCCCTTGGACACATGATCATACACAAGATGGTGGCTGCTGTCTCATCTGAGTCCCTTTAGACCATATGACCACCATGTTGATCCGTGATGGACATGCCACCTGAGTGAGAAATAAACATGTATTGTGTGAAGCCACAGAAGTGGGCTGCTTATTATTGTAGCAAAACTGAGCTTATTGTGACCTGGATACCAGTTGCATTCAAAACTATTATAATTTTTATTTCCTACAATATAAAAAGGAAGTAACAAAGTAACATGTTCATGGTAATTTACAAAGCATGTTTATCATCCCAACAAGCTGTGATTTATCTCCATTTCATAGATGAGGACATAGAGGTCAAAGACACTTGTCCAAGGTCACGCAGCTGGAAAGTAACTGAATCTGGACTTGAATCTGACTTCAAATCTTCAAATCTGCCTATTTATAGCGTGCTTCCCAGCCACAAGCTGTACCGTTCAAGATAAATTTGGGTCGAAACTTGGATCTTTGAGAAGTTTCTGGGAGGTGGTGACAGGCTAAACTTTACTTTGTTCTCTTTCCATCTCTGCCTCTCACATCTTGCTTTGCTCTTTCATAATTTTAATATCTGAAACCTCACACCGACCATGTAAGTAATGTGAATGTTTTCAGAAAACATGTGCTGGGCATATGATTTCGGCTTAAGCTCTAGGGCTTTGTAATACCCATATTTTTCAACCAGACAGATACTTCTCTGCTCTGCAGCTCCATCGGATGTTGTGTCTTCACTGTGAGTTTATTTTCGGGTCTTACCCGAGCTCCAGCCATGGCCCCAAATACGTTACTTACTCTGCAATCTTCATATGTGAAGTGGGATCATGAACCCCACATTCCCTGTCTTTACAAACTCTGTAGAGTACTGTGTATGTGTTAGCGATTATCCAGCACTTATGTATTCAACAGCAAGCATTTATTGAACACCTACTGCATACAGCACTGGGGGGGGGGGGGGGTTGACAAGAAATGAATGAGATTCTGTGCATGCCCTCCAGGAGGCAGTATGTTGTCATGGTTAAGAGCACAGACTATGGAGTCAGGCAGGAAAACCTGGGTCCATTTCTTATTCTGACACTCATTTGTGCTCCGAGTCTTATTTCCTCAACTGCAAAATGGTGATGATATTATTTACCTCAAAGCACTGTTGTAAGGTTTAAATGAGGTGATGCCTAGAAAAGTGCAATACCCAACCGGTGGGAAACACCGAACAGGGTCATTGTGCTTAAGCAGTGTTTGGGGACATGGTAGGACCTCTATAAATGTCTGTTAACAGAAAAAGTGAAGAACAGGGCATGGACACGAATGAATGTGAGCAAAGATCCTGGCTTCCAGAAGGGATCCGGCTAAACTGACCTCCACATGAGCTCAGAGGAGGCCCTGGGGCTTAGACCCAGGGAAAGGCTCAGCAGCTTCAAGACCCTCCACGGTAGAAGCGCCCCTCGGTGCCAGGAGCCCTCAAAGCCACCAGGACATTCCTGGCCCCGCCGTGGTGTGTACAAAAACGCGCTTCTCACCAGCACTCCCCACTTGGGCAAGCAAGTGTTAACGCGAGGAGTGGGAAATGAGAAGCGAACATATGGAATGCCAATATAATGTAGAAATGTGGGATTAAACAACTCAGTGGCACGGGAGCAGCCACCCTCCAGGTTCTAACACTCTGCTGGGCTCCTTCTTTCTCCCTCTGCTGGGGTTGGCTTTTACTACAGGTCCCGGTCTTAGAAAACACCATCTAGGGGTGAGGCCACATGGGAGTGACCTGGGCTTTGGGGTCAGGCAGACCCAGGTTTGAATCCTGGCACCTCACTTCCCCTCCGCAAGATCTTGGCAAGACACAGCACCCCTCGGAGCTCAGACTCCTTCTTTGTCACGTGCGGGCGCTACCACCTTTCTCACCAGGTTTGGCTGTGTTGTGATTAGTGGCTGACAATTATTGAGTGAACTTTATTGTGCATTTCCTGTAGCCACTCAATACTGACAATAACCCCAATGTGGGCTATTATTATCCCCACTTGACAGGTCAGAAAACTGAAATTCAAAGGTTACCTCACTTGCCCATCGCAGGTGAGGGGCTGAGCTGGGACCTGCACCCAGGTCTGCCTGACACTAAAACCCGCCGTTCTCCGCTTCACCATTGGAAGACATTTGGCTCGCATTTCCTCCACTTCAAATATTTCTGAATCTGGGAAGACATAGGGGGAAGAAACCCAATTTTTAAAAACCAATTTAAATAATTAAATCTGGCAGCAAAAAGCTCAGTATCGGAAATACATTTCACCACCCCATCGCTGAATCTGTTTAATGTATTTTGAACCAGCTCGGCTCGGTTAGATAGGAAATGGAGCAGGAATTTAAAATTTGAAACTAAACTTGCAGCGAGGGGTCACATCTATAAGTTGTTCCGGGAAGCCTGCACTCAACCTCGGCTTCCCACAGGAGTCGCGGGGAGGTCACCCCAACCCCTGAACTCATCCGGGGCTCTTGAAAGGCAAGAGCAGCCAGAGAGACAGACGGCATGAAGGCACGAAGAAAGCTCTGCGTCTCAAGCCACTTACTCCCATAACAAGCACGTTTCATCTTCAAAGCCCTTCACAAGCGAGTATTAATCTTCACGACACCTAAGTGAGGTGGGCGTGTGGCATTAACCAAGGCTTTCTAGGCCAAGGTGGCCTAGGGGAGGCCTTTGGACAGTGAGTGACCCCAGGACACCAGCCTGGAGAAGGACCATCAGGCCCACCCTGCCTCGGCCTGGCCGGGCACTCTCAGATTTCCCAATCCCAAGCCAGGCCCACTCAAATCATCTTCAGAAAGTATTTCCTGATGTGAGGGAAGGTGGGTAGGAGGAAGAGGCAGGAGAACGTGGGATGCATGCAGAATGTAAGCCCTGAAGTTATTGTCATTTAAGTAGGTTTCATTTTACTGGACTTGTACACAGGTTATACATTTTATGTAAATAGCTATGAATAATAACTCATATTTGTATAGGTATATTTAGCATTGCCAAAGCCCTTTTGTCTGTAATATCCCAGATGATCCTTACAACAGTCATTTTGTTCAATGTCTGTTTATTGAGCACCTACTTTGTGCCAGGCTCTGAGAGGCGTCGGGTTCGAGTAGTGAAGAAGGCAGATGAGAGCTGCACTCCTGAGCATGCAATCCAGTGTGAGAAGCCCTATAAGGAAGGGTCACTATTATTCCCCTCCCCAACCTTATCTTAAACAAATGGTGGAACTGAGGCTTAAGGTCACACAATGAATGAGTGGTGGAGGTCGAACTCATTCCCAGGTGTGGTTGATTGTGAAGCTTCTGTTTTAGCCAAGTTCAGAGACGCTCGTTGCAGCAATGTTGAAAATGACCAAGAATTGGAAGCAACCTGCATGTCCATTGCTAAGGAAATGGACAAATAAAATGTGGGAAATGCATGAGATGAAATGTTACGCCAGTCAAAGGGAATGACTTACCTCTACTTTTAGATAATGTCCAAAGAAAAAAAGTGAGAAGCAGAATTAGATGTATAACATGATATCAGTTCCATAAAGTTGTAAAAGCACACTCAAAGCAATGCTATATATTTACATATACGTGAATAAAGATATAGAAGATGGATTGAGAGGCCACACATTAGATACTAAAGAGTGGATGCCTTGATGGTATGGGCAGGGTTATGAATTAAGGGTGGGGACCAAAAAAAGCGGCGGCGAGGGGGGGGGTGGTTCGTGCTAGATGAAGACAGAAACCGGGGGACCTGGCTGACAGATTCGGTTCTTGTACATGTCCTTTGAGGGTCCCTCGAAAACTAATAACACACATCGTCTGCTCTTTTACAGGCTATATTCTCTCCCCTTAATCCGAGTGTCAAAATTGCCTGTCGAACGTGAACCAGCCAAAAATCTAAATGAAAAACGGGAACAAAAAGAGCAAGATTTAAAAACCAACTTGAGAAGTGAACAGTGTCTGTTTGGGTGCAAATGGGTGCTGTCGAGCATGTGTGACAGCCGTCATGGAGCAGAGACCAGGAGCAGCTGAGCGGTGAGCCCTGCTGTGGCTGAGCCTGTCCCGTGGGCCAGGTCAGCCACGGTGCCACAGAAGCCCCAGGGCAGCCTGAAATTGGGGTTGGAGATTGTCCACAGAACCTTGCTTACCAGCTTCTCAGAGTCACACTTGCTGGCTTCCTTGTTGGTTTCCTGCCATGGCATGATCGATTCTTACAAATACATTTTCTAGAAGTTGAGTTGTGCCAGGCAAACCATGCCAAAGCATCCTCATTTCCATGTGTGGTCTGGGTGGAATGGGGGAGGCTGTAGGCAGAGTGATTCTGGATTTCAGCAAGGCACTTGGAGGAGTATCTCACCCACCTGAATCTCCCTAAAGCACAAATCTGCCCTGGCCCCTCCCCTGCAAAAACCTATAAGAGAGATTGCGAACTCCTCAGCTGTGCATGTGTGGCCTTCAATGATCTGGTCTCTGCCAAACCTCCCAGCCTCCAATTCCGGTGCCCTCCCCCTCTGCCCGCAGTTCTAAGGTACAGCCCCCACTTTTGTTCCTTAAGATCTTGCATAGGTTGCCACTGCCAACCAGAATGCCCCTCCCCCTGCCTTGTTCCCCAGGGTAATCTGCACTCAGCCTCAGACTCAGCTGAACGGTTACCGCCCCACAAAAGCTTCCCAGGCCTTTCTCCTTCTGCTCGACCTGATCAGGAAGAATTGAAATAACAACTAAATCAATTACTTTGTGTAAAATGCTTAGGACAGTAAGCATGAGGGCTAGATGTGCCTCAAAATTCAGAACTTTTCAGATTTTATAAAATATATAAAGTACATGTATCGTATGTTATAAAAAAATTTGAGCAGACTATGGAGCAGGTCCCCATAATAAAGCTCATTAATGTTTCTGCAGGAACCGCGTGAATATTCACACGCTAACTGAAGACTATAAATAGTTTCCTATCAGGTTAGGTGGGGTTTTGCCACCAAACTTCTGAAAGAAAATGCTGGTTTTGTTTTTCAGGGCATTTAGGATTTTAGAATTATGGACACATATTATTGTTGTGTTGTTATTACTATTTTGTTCCACCAATTAATAATAACAATCCTTACGACTAATGCAAGCACTTGCTATTCAGTAAGGATTATGCAAAGCAATTGACATAAATGATTCCATCTTTATGCCACCATGAGGTACAAAGAAGTTCAGTAACTTGCCCAAGTGCTAGTAAGTGACAGAGCTGGGACTTGAACTCACAGCTTTTCTGATGCCAAAGCCCACACTCTTAGCCACCACCTTACACCGCAGTTTTTAGCTGTACTTTATATCATAGTACTCACCTCCCTTTGCTGCAGTTCATTCTTTATGAGTTGCTCTCTCCAACTTGGCTGTGAGCTTCTGTGGGGACTGGAGCTGCTCCATCTCTGCCTATGAATGAATGAATGAATGAATGAATGAATGAATGAAATTCACATACAAAGGATGGTGAAGTGCTGGGAACTTGATGGGATTATCTTGGCTGGTTGTGTCCTATGCTAATGAGTGCGCTGATGCCACCCATGTGTTCATGCACTAACAATGATTGCACACCTTTCTGCTCAGGGCCCTAGAGTTAGGCAAAGTAATCAAGCCAAATTCCCTGCCCTCAGGGGGTTCGCAGTCTGGGAGGAGAGATGGGCTGCATCTCCATGCCATTGTAACGTGAGGTTAAGGTAAGAGAAATGTCCACATTGATTGGAAACTTGAAGGCGGAGAGCCCATCTTGCCTGGAATCATAGGGAGCCTTAAGGATATAGCCACGAGCTATTTTTGTGTAACAAACCATCCCAAAACTTACTAGCTGGAGAATGAGGAGGATAGAACATTCTAGGCAAATTATGCTCTCACCACTGGATACAAGAATTCCATTGCTTCATATCCTCACCAAGACTGGGTGTTGTCAGATTTTTAAATTTTAGACATTCAGGTAGGTGTGGGGTGATGCCTCACTGTGATCCTGACTTCCACCCCCATGATTTCTAAAGACCTTAAGTACCTTGTCATAAGTTGATTGGCCAGTTGGGTTTCTGCTTTTGTCAAGTGTTGGGTTAAAGCTTTGGCTGAGTTTTCTATTGGATTGTATTTTTCATATTGATTTGTAGAGTTCTTTATATATACTGGATATCAGTCCTTTGTTAGATAAATGCATTGCAAATACACCCTCTTTGTGGCTTGCGTTTGACTCTCTTCATGATGTCTTTTGGTAAACAGAAGTTCTCATTTTAGGGAAGTTCAATTTATCAATATCAAATATGTCTTTATGGCTTAAGTTTTTGTGTCCTGTTTAAGAAATCATTGCTTACCAAGGTCATGGAGATGATCTCTTTTGTTTTCTTCTAGAACAGTGGTTCTCAACCTTCTGGCCCTTTAAATACAGTTCCTTATGTTGTGACCCAACCATAAAATTATTTTTGTTGCTACTTCATTACTGTAATGTTGCTACTGTTATGAATCGTAATGTAAATATCTGGTATGCAGGATGGTCTTAGGCGACCCCTGTGAAAGGGTCGTTCAACCGCCAAAGGGGTCGCGACCCACAGGTTGAGAACCGCTGTTCTAGAAGCTTCAGTGGTTTATCATTCAGGTTTAGATCTGACTAAAAGCCACCTTCCTCTGAATTTTCAGACACCTCTGTGCCCAGCTCACCTCTCTTTCCTCCCAGGATGCCCCGACACCTCCCCTCCTTACCCTGTCCTGACTGATGAGGGGGCCAGACTCAGCCTCCTCTCAGAGTTGGCAAAGAAACTCCAGATTCAGGTTGGTGGGCAAAGTGGGGGTGGGGGTAGATTCTGGCTGGGCTGGCAACCATTACAGCTGCACCTGCTGCACCTGCAGCCCATTTCTGCCTAGGAACTTCTCAGTGGGGTTGGGGCGGGGGCAAGGCTGTTCTTCCTTAAAGAGACATTCCTTCCCCACTCCTACCTGGCTGATCTCAGGGTGCAGTTGGGGCTCCTCCTAGGGTGTGCAGGGTGCTGGGTAAATAACTTGTGCAGAGTCTCTGTCTATATAAACAATTTGAGTTACTCAAAATCAGCAAGTCAGCACCATTCCGGTGGCCCAGTCTCCCAAGATTCTGCAAAATTCTACACTGGCCACCAGAATGGTGTCCTCGCCAGACCCCTGGAACTGGCATCTGTCCAGCCCACATAGGCACAGGTATTGAAACTCTTCAGGCATCATTAAGTTAAAGGAGAAATGGATTCTAGGGTCCACGAAGGTCCCAGCCTAAGCTCAGGGCACCCCATGAAGATGGCACAGGCAGCCTAGCTGATGCCAGCCCCCAGAAGGAGGCTTGGAAAACTTCAAGGCGCTCAAGGCATGAGGCTCCGCTGAGGACAGGTGTGGAGCAGGGTCTGCAGATGGCTCCAGGTGCGGTCACACCAGGGTGTGATTAGGGTGCCCTGGACGGCCTTTGCTGAGCAGTCCAGTGTCCTTCGCAGGGTCTGCAGATGGCTCCAGGTGCGGTCACACCAGAGTGTGATTAGGGTGCGCCTTTGCTGAGCAGTCCAGTGTCCTTGCCCTGCTCATCTGCCTCCAGGTTCTGTGTTGCCTGAGAGTCCCATTGTCTAGTGAATTCTTGTTCTTCTGCTGGTTTTCTAGCTCATAATAACTTACAGGCTCATTTCCATTTCTCCTTTGGGTGAATGGAACATCTTCCCCTCTCATACCCTCCCCTCCCCTCTCCTCCCTTCTTCTCTGGATCTAACTTTCTCTGCCTTCTCTTTCATTTCCTGTCACTTTCCCTTTCTCCTCCCTTCTTTTCCTCCTCATGTATCTCTCCTGCTTCTTTTCGTCTCCTCCCCTCACCCCACCAGATGTACACACTCACACACACTTTGAGCCCTGCAGCCCCCAGCGCCCTCTCAGCTCAACCCTTCTCTCGGGCAGGTGGGTGGCATACAGACCATATGTGGTGCCAGGAACAAGCAGGAGCCTGGTGGATGTGGCATGGCAGCCTGGTAAGCGTTTGTTTTCACCTGGTCCTCATGCTGCTAACACATTGGAGCATCTCAATGCTTTAACCCTCTTGCTGCCAGTTGCATTGTCTTGAAGGAAGAGAAAGAAGGGAGAAGAAAATGGGAGAGCCTTTGGGGCACCTTCCTTCATTTATCCATTCACTAAGCAACCACGGACAGACTCCTTACCTGCCCCCTGCAGGGCCTGGCTGGGCTCAGGGGAGCAGAGGTGAGGCAGGCTCCGTCCAGCCCGAGAGGAGAGGCTTATAGTCTAACGAGGGAGACACACAGCAGAACAGTCCAAAGCAGCCTGATCCACACAGTGATGGAGGGGGAGGGAGCACCAGAGCTGCAAGGAGGGCGTCTGAGCCAGCGTGCAGGTGGCAAGGCTTGCTGGGGGAGGTCTTGCCAGAGCTGAGTTGTGAGGGTCAACATGAAGGTCAAGTAGGTGCTAGCCTGGGAATGAAGGGGGATAGAACATTCTAAGCAATGGAAACAGCAAATGGAAAGGCACAGAAGCTTAAAAGGACCTGGTATATCCAAGAAAATGTGTTCAGCCCTAACCGGTTTGGCTCAGTGGATAGAGTGTCGGCCTGCGGACTCAAGGGTCCCAGGTTCGATTCCGGTCAAGGGCATGTACCTTGGTTGCGGGCACATCCCCAGTTAGGGGGTGTGCAGGAGGCAGCTGATCGATGTTTCTCTCTCATCGATGTTTCTAACTGGCTATCCCTCTCCCTTCCTCTCTGTAAAAAATCATAAATAAAATATATTTTTAAAAAAAGAAAAGAAAATGTGTTCAGAATGGCTGTGTGTGTGTGTGTGTGTGTGTGTGTGTGTGGAGTGGGCTTGGAAAATATGGTAGGAAATGAGGCTAGGAAGGTCAAGGCCAGGTCATACTCAGAGGACCTCGAATGCCAGGCTCAATAGCTGAAGGCCATTACCTGAGAGTAGTGGTAGAGTCAGATTTGCATTTTGGAAAGATCCCTGTGACTTCAGGGTAGAAGAGAAATGGGAAGAGGAGAGCTGAGAGGCAGGGAAAGCAGAAAGGAGTCCCTGCTTCTCTCTGGTGCCTTTGTCCCCTCCAGTGGAGACCATGCCCCCACCATCAGCCTCTGCCTTCACCTTCTCCATGTGCAGGGGCCCCCCATTTCTAGGGAGCTACATTCCCTTCTCCATGAAGGCTCTCAGGGCAGGCCAGGAGGGGCAACACCAGGCTGGGCTTTCCTGGCCCCAGCTACAGCCTCGGCTTGCTGGGCTCCGGACTAGGATGGGGTGATGGGGGAGCCTATTAGCCTCACCCACCAGGCAGGTGGGGCCCAGGAGCAGTCTGGCCATCACCCATCTGGTAGCCATGTGTCAGGGGGAAGCTCCGAGGCCCCAGGTGCCCCCTAGGCTCAGCTCTTCCCCACCATCTGCAGGCTGAGTCAGCTTGGTAGGAAAGCCTCAACATCTGGATTCAGACTGACAGAGGGACCTGGTCTCCAGTCCCGCACTGTCGTCACCTCTGGCTGTGTGTGCTGGAGCAAGCCCCTGCACCTCTGAGCCACTTCCTCCACCTGTAAGAAGAGAGTTTGCACCCATTAAATAATAACTCCCTGGAGACTTAGAAGATTCACGTGATGACTTAAGCATTTTGCACAAAGTCAGACACTGGACACTGAATGAATGGGGCTGTGATTGCCATCCCAGTATCCTCTGATGGCCTGTTT